ATGAGGGGGCCAGCTGCTTCCTGTTCCCCCAGGTGAGCAGCTGCAAGCAGCCTCCAGAGAGCCTGTTGTACACCAGACTGAGGAGCCAGACTGCAGCCAGAGATCATCATCTAGTCCTCCTCATCTGGTGGTAAGTAGACAATCTAGTATAATATTAGTGCCACTAATCTCTAATTTATCTCCCAATAAAGCTTAATGTAGTTGTTCTGTTGACTATAATCTGTCCCTGCAGGCTTTTCTTTTTTTTGTAAACATTGCTGCCTAAGGACACCTCCAGTGGCAGTCACTCAGTAAGCCACTAGAGGTGCTTCCTGGGTTTGTGCTGCACTGTGTGGAGCACTGACCCTCTGCATCTCTACACTCTGCATGGAGGAGCTAAACATTCACCTTAGAGCTGTATTGAATCAATTAATCTCCATGAGGAGATGCTGACTGGTGTAGTAATTTGCCGCGCGTGCACAATAGCCTCCTAATGCTTTCCCATAGGACAGCATTGGATTACCTGAGATCATCAAAATGGAGAGGGGATATCTAAATAGTTATTTTTGAACTATTGTTGGGGATACATGTTTGTGTTTCTGACTCTCTAGCGTTTCTTTAAGCTAATCCCCAACACCACTACATCAACTGACGTGCTCAGGCTCAGCTAACGCAGAGATCTTTTGGCTCTTTGGCCGATGTAGAGAAAGCAGGGCCAGGTAAGGTAAGGAGTCAAACAGTTCTAATACGGTTTAACTATTTACATCAGGGGCAGAAATATGGGGCACCACTCTGCAAATGTCTCTTTTGTGAAATGTACATTTTGAGCTAAATATTTTACAGATTTATTCATAAAAGTGTGAATTTTGGTGAAATCAAAGTGAATTTCACAATATCCAAATGGGGGAAAACACCCCAATTCAGCCATTTGCAAGTTTGGCTATTTTGTCTTTAAAGGGAGACCATAGGCACCAGAACCACTGTAGCTTGTTTCTTTAGCAATGGCAAGTTTTTATCTACTATTCTAAATAGGCTTAATCGCAACATATAATAATTTGATTAATGTAAATGTGGAAAAAGTGGTGGGACTGTCATGAAATGGGCAGATCTTATGGTTGGGGCATTGTGATGATGTCACATGGTGGGCAGAGCATATGGGGGTAGGGGGAGCAAACACATTTTTGGCTAGGGCAGCAAAAATCCTTGCACCGGCCCTGAGTACCAGAGCAGAGTAAATTCTTGCTTATTCCTTACAAGACTTCTACTCTTATTCTTTTCAATCTTACCCATGTGGAGAGCTATGTTGTCTTTCACATTCATCTCTTCTTATTCTATCCTTTGTGGTTGCATTTCTATCTTGCTCAATGATGTCAATATTTTTCAAAAGCAATACTTTCCTTTGACTAATTATGTCAACCTGTATATGTTTAAGCAGGTTACAGGGTTTTTTTTGCCAAAGTTATTTGGTTTATGTAATGGTGATTACGTATTGCATACCTAGTCCCATGTCACATGTGTTATGTCTCGAGATGGTATAAGATGATGTAAGTCTCTCATTTTAATGAATGCACTTCTAGTCCTTACAATTTTAATCATAATTTATGCTGATGGATCCTCGTTGTTGAACATATCGAACTACATTGAAACATGTTGCTTATATTGACCCTCTACTACCGTGCTATACTTATCTGTGAGTGAATTTATGGGACACCATTCTGTTCTTCTCAATATTGTTTTTACCCAATTTCTTTAGTTTGCTCTTCATTATTTATTAGTTACACACATGTTGGTTTGTGTATCTTCTCTCTGTATTTTAATATATTGAAAAATACACAAATAAATCAATTTAACAAAATCATAGTGTAGCTCTCATATTTTCTTCTTGATTTAAATTGTACTTTGGGGAATAGCGCTTTTCTTCTATTGGATTGCGCACCAGGATGTTGTTAAATTGTTATTATGTTGCCCTGTCTGTGATTTCTTTTCTCTAATGTTTTTCAGGATGGTTGGAGAAGCCATTTGTCTGTACATGTCTTGTATTTGTATTGCATCTGTATTTCTAGTTTCCTACAGTCAGACAGCTCAGAGGTCGCTCAATATAATGGCAGAGAAGGACAACAAACATTCTGATTTCAGCATCATTGACAGATATAATAAATACACATATGTGTACAATTGCAAATGTCTTTCCAATTTTTTCATGTGAACTGGAATTCATAAAAACATAGACATTCTAAAATGCATCTCGTTAGCTTTATTTGTCATTTTCAATACATATTAATCTCTATCTCACTAATGCTATTAAAAACAAGCAGCAGACAAGCATGTAAGCTCATTGAGCAGGGCCCTCAACCCCACTGTTCCTGTGCGTCCATTTGTCTGGTTACAATTCCATGTCTGTTAGTCCACCCATTGTACAGCGCTACGAAATTTGCTGGCGATATATAAATAGTAAAATAATAATAATGTATAATATGGGAAATTACCCACGGAAAACAGTAATAGATTTATATGTTTGTGTATATTCATTTAAACTGTGCAAGTTAAATAGCAGAACATTATGAATATCTTATTTAACCCGTTACCTAGTCACACTGAGGAGAAGATTATCTGATGGTATTATATGAGAAATCTTTTGTGCTTGGCCACGTGGATTGCCACTTTGCTGTAAATGTAAAAAAAAAAATTTCTTATTCAAACTGGACATTTTCAATTTACCTCTGACCTGACACCTAAAGCCTTTGTGATGATGAATCCACTATGACACTTCTGAATGTAGAGTCGGTGTGATCATATAGTTTAAATATATGGTTTAAATAGTTTAATGCCTTACTTAGATTTTAGATGGAGTTATTTTCTCTTTGTTCTGTAAAGTTTGTATTTATTTTCTAATATATGTTATAGGAAAATATTTGGGCTTATCTCAATATTCACTGCCATATACACAATACAATACAATGGAATTTACTGCTACAAGGTTTTTACATTCATTGAAATAGCGTGAGGATATCTCTTCTCTTCCAATATAGGAAATGAGAATTGTGTATATATCATGATGTGTGGTGGGATCAGTAAAACACACAAATCTTACCAGATGCGTGGTGTTTTTCTAAAAATTCTTTTTGTAACGTTCTAATGCTTTTTCTGCAACGTACTGCATGAACTGTGGACTCTCAACATCTATACTAGCAGGGACTTTGATGGTGAAAGTGGGAGCTGACAAGACATTCACGTCTACAAAGGTTTCATTTATAGCAGGATATTCAATGCTTGGGCTGGACGACACCTAAAAAACAAAAATATAAAAAAACGATAAAGCCTAATTCTCCATCAGGATTTTTAAGTCATCAAGTAACACTAATTATCTTAAAAATAACACCTGTGTGTTTAAAAAGTATATGTCTACTTTTAAAAAAAATCTTTCATCTTCTAAGCATACATCCTTATTATAAACCTATACAACACATTCCACATAGGTCCATTATAGAATTTATCTTCTAGAACTAGATTATAAAAAATATATATAGGTTTGCAAATCTTGTTTCGTAAACTAAACAACAGTGTGAATTGAAAACTAAATTGTAAAATGTAGGCCAAGATATTGTTGGGAGTATAGATCAGGATTTATCATTCCTAGTTACAGTGGCCTACCTTTGGGAAATTCAATTTCAGATTATCTAATGCAATTTCATAGATTTAGAATGTAAGCCTGTTTAAGCAGGGCCCTTAATACCCTCTGTTCCTGTGAATTCAGTTTGTCTTGTTACAATTACGTGTCTTTTAGTCCACCAATTGTACAGCGCTACAGATTTTGTTGGAGCTTTATAAATAATAATAATAGGTTCGTTTTTACTGCAGTTTAGCTATATCTAATAAACAGATGAAGATAACAATTGATCGCTCTGATAATTTATCAGTAACTGAACTGATCCTAAACTGTTAATGAGCATATGGATGTCAACAGAACTGAAGCTGGACAGAGCTGTCATCAAGCCATGGTCATTTGCCACCTCCCAATGTCTAGTCCCTAGATTGCCTGATGAGAAAGCCAGTCTACGATCCTTTGTAAATTTACTAAGTACTCAGAATGAAACCTTCATGCATTGTAACACTTTATTGAGTAGGTCCATAATTTTTTTTTATCAATTTATGACATAATGAGATTCAGAAGTAACTTATTTCAATAAGTGAGTGCAAATTCAATGTCACCTGAATAATCTTTTTAAAAATACATAAACATACCTGATTTCTACCTGATCTATATAAGTGGTAAATTGTAAATGTATTTACCTTGTCTATACTGAAGATGTGATCAGATCCATATGTCAGATTGGTGTGCTCTGCAACCCATCCAAACCTTTCCTTCATTCTGGTCACTGTGTCAACCGTGTCTTCAGTATGCTGCTGGACAAGCTGGACGAGATCTCCGTATTGCTGCTCAGACATATTAACCAGCTTATAGGCTGCTTCAGACTTTACAAGAAGTTCCATTACATCAGGGCAGTCTTGTTGGCATAACCAAAGAAGGATACAAATATGAGAAACAAAACATACATAGCAATTAATGAAAACCACATTTATGTTCGTTATTTTAACTTTAAACAAATGACTCATTCTTTTCATTTTTCCAAATTATTTGTATGGACCTAAACACAATCTCATTAATAGATGGTTATATAATGCATTTTTATTAAAGATGTACATGTGTAAACAAAACATCTGCTTTTAACAAAAAATGCTATGTGCCAAGGAGCATATCTTATGAGTATCACTATTTAAAAAGGAAATTACAATCATCTTCCACTACAGTTATGTTTATATTTAATTTACAAAGTCAGCAGAAGCAAAAAGCATATGTGACATTAAAGCATTTTTTCTTTTATTTTTAACGTACGTTTATACTGAAGACTAGTGAGAAATAGGGGTGTGTAAAAGAAATAGTAATTTCTCAGAAAAAAAGAAAAGAGGGTTCTGGACAGGATAATGTCAATTCTGTGCATATTTGACATCTGCCATCAGCATGTATAGCTTGCTGGTGATAGACAACCAATGGTGGCATGGCCCCCTTTATGTGCCGCCCAAGTCTGCCCCTCAGACCCCTCAAACCCATCCTCGCTAAATCCATCCCCCCAGGGCCGGCCTTAGGGGTGTGCGAGCTGTGCGGCCGCACAGGGCGCCATGGCAACAGGGGCGCCGGGCGGCCAACACAGCTCGCAGGCCGGCCGAGTTCTGTATTTAAAGTGCAAGTCAAGTGCATAATACTGCTTTGCACTTGACTTGCAAATTATGAGCAGAGAGCCGCCGCCGGGAATCCACTTCTGTATGGAGGGTGGAGGAGGAGCGTGGGGGCGTTATGCCGCGTACTTGCGTAACGTCGACGTGCTCTGTCATCAGAGGGAGCCGCGGAAGGATCCAATTCAGTGAGTGAAGGTGGCACCCGGTGCTCTTCAATCGGCGGAGACAGCTCAGTCCAGGGAGCAGCAGCCTTTACTGTGAGTGACTTTTTTTTTCTTTTTTATTAAATAGGTTTTGTTGAAGAGGTGCAGGAATTTAATTAAGGGGGGCAGGGGATTGATGAAGGGGTGGCATGGATTGCATTAATTGGCAGGGGATTTATTAAGGGGGCTGATAAAGGGTGGCAGGAAACTGAAAAGGGGGGCATGGGGCTGATTAAAGGGGGCAGGTGGTTGATAAAGGAGTGGGAGGGGATTGATGAGGAGATCAGGGGGCTGATGAAATGGGGGCAGATGGCTGATAAATAGGTGGGAGGGAATTGATGAGGGGGCAGGGGACTGATGAAGGGGTGGCCAGGGGTTGGATTATTTGGCATGGGATGTATTAAGGGGGCTGATGAAGGGGAGCAGGGGGTTGAAAAGGGGGCATGGGACTGATTAAAGGGGGGCAGGTGGGTGATAGGGGTGGGAGGGTACTGATGAGGGGGTCAGGGGGCTGATAAAAGGGGGAGGGGATTGGTGAGGGGGTCAGGGGACTGATGAATGGGGCAGAGGGCTGTTAAAGGGGTGGGAGGGGATTGATTAGGGGGTCAGGCAGCTGATGAATAGGGGCAGAGGGCTGAGTAAAGGGTGGGAGGGAATTGATGAGAGGGGCAGGGGACTGATGAAGGGGTGGCAGGAATTGATAAAGGGGTGGGAGGGGATTGATGAAGGGTAAGGGGTGGCTAGGAGTTTGACGAAGGGATGGCCAGGGCATTGATGAAGGGGAAGGGGTGGCCAGGAGTTTGATGAAGTGGTGGCCAGGGGCTTGGTGAAGATCTGGCCAGGGATTTTGGTTAAGAGGTGCAGTGGTTTTGTAGAAGGGGGTGGAGGCAACAGATTGTGAATGCTCCTAAAATAGTTTGAAGGGGTCCAAACAGAGACAGGTGAGGGGGGCGGGGGGGACGCCACAAGATTGTTTCGCACAGGGCGCCTGAACACCTAAGGCCGGCCCTGCATCCCCCTGTAGTAAGGGGGCCATGATGTCAGCAGAGGAATATGGGGCTGCTGGGAGAACTTAGCCTTGCCGCAGGATCGCAGGTAAGTTTGCTTTTTTATTTTATTTATTATTATTTCTTTGGAAGGAAACCAAAAACTTTGAGTAACCCTTTGCAACATGTTGCAAACAAAGCAAAACAGTATGCAGCATAAGAAATTCTAGTTGTGAACAATAAATTATACCAGCAAATAAACATAAAATATCCCCCTTAAGCACAATAGTAGCCTGGTGAAGCTCGTGTGAGTTCTCACCAAGACCTTTTGAGGCAAAGTGGTCCTACAGACTCAACAGTACCTCCTCCATCACAGACATGAATTAAGTGTAGAACTAACGTAGTGCCCTAATCGCCAATACTGACTGTTTCTGTCTGACTAGAAAATTCAAAAGGAGTGAGAGGTTCTATATCTACAACCTATTTTGCATAGAGAACTAATTTTCCTAATTAGAGGTGAATCTGCCTTCAAAACCTGGTCCACACAACATCTGGTTGCTAGACAAATTTGGGATACCAGTTTATTAAATAATTAATTTAGGTTTTTTAACTCCGAGGGGTCAGGATCCTGTGTGATCCCAAGGAGATAATGGAGTATTTATCATATGATATACGATGTAGATGGATCCAATGGGGTGGATTTCCATAGATTATTTAATAAATTTTATGATGAGGAGATAGAAGGCAGTGATCAGACGTGTGCATCAAGGTTTATGTTCTTGGGATTCCATAAATGATATGACTCCATAGCTTTATAATAATATTTTGACTTCCCACATTTCATGCTCCTCCAGACATTTAATTCAAAATAATGAGATGATCATCAGGAATTTTAATTATGAAAGCTTAAAAAAATCTTGCTGGTGGACTGGGCGTTGGACAAGATAAAGGGGAGTAGAGTATAGTATATACTATAAAATAGAAAGGCAGAACTAGGGAGGGAAGCTGAATTAGGGATGGATTCAGTGAGACAGGGCACGCATTAAAGAGTGAGGTAAAAGATTTCTATTGAGGCACATTGTTAGACTGTGTGCGCACAAGTTAAAAAAAAAAAAACACAGTCCAAAGGGATTCTACTGGCAGGTGCGCTCACAACACAGTCTGCAAGTGACGAAGCAAAACACATCCGCTGCTAGCTTGCGACACGTGCTGATGACAGATGGAATTTTTCCACAGGACACACATTAGAAAGTCTGGAACAGAGTTCTGGGCTGCCTAAGTTACTTGTACCCGGGGTATAACTAGACCATGGCAAAACAATGCAAAATACTCTGTATAGGCAGTGGAAAAGGCTGCACATATAGATTGCTAGCTCCGTGACCACTTCTAAAAGCAGAAGTGGTTATGGACATTGGAGTAACCATTTAATTACTCCAATTTTTTCCGACGTTTACTGTTTTTGATTTCACTGTCACATTAAGATTTTGTTACATTTTGAAGACGCTTTGGTCTTCTGGCTTCTATATTAGAATTCTCATTCTTTCCATTCCTCAGCTGATGAAATTCTTTTGCATTTTGTTTTTGTATATTTTCCTCCACCCCCTCTGTGTTTGTATCAACTCTAAACATTTCTTCACATGCCTTCTGATGAGATGCTTATAGTATGTTAGGTAATACTTGGTTACGTATGTAATTTCTGTACAGCACACACATGGTTGTGTGGGTGGCATGCAAGAAGAAAAAAAAATTGAAAGGCAGTCACATTTCAACCAAACTAAATAAATCTAGCATTTCAAGCATAGTATCAAATTTATACATGAACAGATGTCTTCAATATTTAGTAAGCTCCTGTTTTGCAAAAAAATAAATGCAGCTTCTATGTGTTACAGCGTCTTGCAATAGTGTGGCGTGATGTTTTTTTTTTGTTAGAAGAGATTTTAAAATAAATACTTTTCTGCTACCCTAATTATATTTTACTTTTTGTCATTTTCCAGATGTCTCCTCTGGTTTATGGAATTTTGTGGTTTTATTCATGGACTCTAGAATAATAGTAGATAAAGAAACTGTTCTATGTTACAGCAGGGGAATGTACAGGGGAATATGAAAAAACATATTATATTGTCATTTGTTTTAAACATTTTTCTTCTATGGGAAGAGTTTTATACATATAAAATAAAAAATAAAATACCATGTCCATAAAAATGGTCCAACGTAACATTTTCAAATAAAAAGCAACCAAATATTAGATGTTCACCAAGGCTTCCCCCCCCCCCAAAAAAATCATGCTTATACTAATAGTCAAATACATATATTTTGAAATTGTCATCTGTCAAGGCTACTACATTCCCAAGTTGATATATAAAGCATATACTTAGCTTGGACAAAGAATACAACTACATTATTTCCTTATATTTGATTGCCATTTACATTTTTATTAACACAAATCTTTGCAGTAAATGCTTCATATCTCACTTTGGAAACATGACATTTTGTCATGCCTGATAAAACATATTCTTTTTTTGTTGTGCTTGTTTATTTACTGTCTTTTTACAACTGGTGAAAAACACTATTATGTCTCAGGTCGTGAATCAGTGATGTTAGTATTTAGAGCAATATATATTTTTATATCTCTGTCACTAACATGTACATAGTATAGCAAATCATTACCTACTCTGCAATAGTCCCATAATCCATGAAGCCTATTGTTTGTTCTTCAATATGCTGAAGTGGGGGATATTTATAGCAGAACAATCTAAATTGAAATAATATAGCATTGTCAATCTGGTAAATGCTCTATTGTTAACTTAGCAAAGACCAACATAATTAAAACGAATGGATTTCTTAACGGACTATAGAGAAAACATGAATAGTTCGAGGAAGCAGAATGGATGAGATTGTATAGTAGTTTTGAAGTGTATCTGGAGGAAAGATAAAAGCTATGAAGTAAAAAACAAAGAAAAGAGGGGAGAAAAAAGAGTTAGAAAAGAGGATAGAGAAATTTGAATAACAGGGTCATAAGACAGTATCGAGCAGTAGACGTGTGCACTGCCAAAAAAATTTGGTTTAGCTAAATCGATTCGCCCAAAAAATAAAATTGTTTTGGTCAATTTAGGATTCGACCACGTGATGTTTCAGTTTGGACTAATTTTGGTCATGCAATCGTTTCAGGAAAAACCATTCAGATATACCAAAATGTCTTTTTTTCCCATTAATCATGTCTCTATCTGGCACCACGGACAAAACTCCAAATCTCAATACATTGTCCGCTTCGGGATTCCTCCATGTACTGATTCAGAATTATGTAATTTGGAAGAACCGCTAATTGTCCATGATTCAGATAATTCACTGGTGGGGAAAAGAAACAAGCAAAGGATCTTAATCCTTAAGGCTGATAAATATTAAGATGACGAGAGGGGTACATGGTGCAGAATGGAGAAATTAAACAATACAAGATGATAGAACTATAGAGGACATTTCACAGTCTTGGTTTAGATATGAAGAAGTATACTCTCCATGAGTAACATACACTAGGGGAAAATACATAAACCGCACATTAAACTGTACCTTTTGTAAATGTATCATAACATAGCTGACATCTCTCCTGAAATTGCAAACATCCTGTAGAATTCTGGAGCTCCTTACATACCATCTTGTCAGACATCAGATCATCATAATGACTTGCAGACTCTGTAACAAACAGGAAAATCCACCTCAGGCAATACGATTTTGCGCTTCATTATTAGTTTGTTGACAATAGACAGAAAAAAAGTTTATCCAAAAGATAAAAGTTTATCTCAATATATTAAATTGAGGCCCCGAAGTAGATTACTAAAGTAGTAGCTATTTTGGTCATTGTAATTTCACTTTGAATTCACTTGTATTTTCAAAAAATTCACATGTGAATAACCCTTATATATTCCTGTTTGTATACACAATAATTCTCATCTAGCATACTGCTCTGTTTTTTTCAGGCATATAAACCAGAAACCAATGCCACCAGGATGCCCTCATGATCACCCTTCTGTATTTGTTTTCAACACATTAAACCATATTTAAGAGCACTTGGCACCTTGCTATACTCCTGTCTGTGAATTATTATTTTAACCACCGGCATATATATATATATTTGTGGGTCAACTAAAAAACTGTAATTACTTTATGATGATTTTAATGGTAAGCTACTATTAGTGAGAGAGAGAGTGTGTGTGTTGTGTGTGATTAGCCATATTAGTCCAGTAGACAAAGTAGCAGCGTATTGCAGTATGTAACTATACCTTTTTTTATTGGACTAACGTAATACTTAAAAGACAAGCTTTCAAGACTTTTCCTCTTTTCCTCAGGTCGGAAGCGAAATAATAAAAACATATAATAATTCGCAGACAGCTCGAGTATAGCAAGGCGCTAAGCCTTGCTTCAGACCTGAGGTAGAAAGGGAAACTCTCGAAAGCTTGTCTTAAATATTATGTTAGTCCAATAAAAAAGGTATCATTGCATCGTCATTTGACATTTTCAGCTCTGCAGAAGCCAGATGCAGTTTCTGCCAGCACTGAGGGAGGCTCGACACCTAATACGACCCAGATAAGAAGCAAATGGTTGCAAAGCTGCTTGCTCTCTTACCAGCGAATGGCACCAAGGTAGTCTTGCCATTGTAGCTACAACAGATGGCTTAAAGATGTTTACCATCAATTCTGAAAAGGTAATTTGAATCCAGTCCATATTATATATTGTGCCACAGACACATATATCAAGTTTTTATTTCATATTTTTCTGGACATGATTACATCGGTATCTGTATCCTCTACTTACCATCTAACTGTGTGAAAGGACCCTTGGATTCACGTGTGAAGTCCTGATATATTTTGAGCACCACATCAGTCACACCTTCAAAAACGGCTTGGCTAAAATTACAAAAAGACTGGACCCAACCTGAAATATTCCAGTGACTCATAATCTCAGGACTTTTCGGACCAGTATTAGGCGCTTCATCGTCAGGAATCTTCACATCTCCCATAAACATATTCTGGAATGATATGTCAAATCCTTCATGTAGGTTTTTAAAAAACTGTATGCTTTGGTTAAACAAGTTGCTGACATTAGACATCATCTTGCTAAATGACACATCAGCTTGATTCAGCTGGGTGACTTGCTTCTTTGTGCTTTCACTTAGCTCTTTCACTTCACCATTTTGTAAGATAGCAGTAAATGGGGACCATTCTTTAAAGATTTCCTGAACCTGCATGAAAACAGATATAGTAATAATCTGTTACTAATCTGTTACTAGTAAACCTTTATCACATAATAGTATCGCCTTTATGTCCAAATTTAACAGAAGAGCATTCCCTTCCGTCTAAAACAGAATATAATGAAAGAGGCCAATGTCAGCAAATGTTTTTAAGAGTTATAGGGATCTATCTTTCCTTGTTAAAATTATTTGAACTCTTATGAAGCTATTCACTAAACTCAAAATGGTGAAAATGTTAAATCCAAGTGATGAAATTAAGACTACACAAGGCAAAATACGCCAACTCAGTTTTACGATCCAGATTTTAATTCGCTACAATTTGGAGTTTAGAGAACAACACTGATAGATTGATATTATTGTGTTAATCGAATAAACAACAAAGGTGTTATTTACGTGTGGAATATGAAGTTAAAGGAGCCCTCCAAGCACCATAACAACTGTAGCTAATCGTAGTGGTTCTGATGCTACCAGCCTTTGTGTGCTGTCTCTTCACTTTGTCTCAAACAGTTTTTTGAAAAAAAAAACAAGGCTGTCCTATGTGTCCAAAGCCTGCTCCTTCTATAACTATTCAGATAATATCTAAGATTAATTTCTTTATCTGTCCAACATTCTCCAGTTATGAATGATAATGAAAGACTGTGAGCACTGGGGTACCACAACATCTTCATGAATAATATGACATAGGACTTGATGATGACACAATAATGTAAGTATTGCATATTATGTTAATTGGATATTCCAGGGTTAGGCAACCTTCAGCACTGATGTTGTGGACTATATCTCCCCTGATGCTTTGCCAGCATTATGGCTGTAAGAGTTTTATGGGTGATGTAGTCAACATCATCTGAAGTGCCTCTCTTAGGTATATACTATGAACTGGTTTTAATATTGAAACTGTCTTCGGTTTTCATGAGTAAAGGTGCAAAGCAAACAACTCATGTTTTTGCTTTATGAATTATGATTGTCATAAAATATTCTGATTCTTTTGTACAACAACTGACAACCCGCACTTTTTAGTGACATAACAAAACTGTGTTAACTTACCTTGGTAGCAAATGCTTGAAGTCCCACCTGAGAGCAAGTGATTATATAAAATTTAAGGCAGGATTTTTCAAGACAAGCTTTGCATGTTTCCCAACTGGTTTTCATCAGATCTTTACACTGTGTTTCTGCAAGATTCAGCCTCTGATTTACATCCTCGTAAAGTGTCTCTGCTTCCTGTTCAGATACAATTAAGAATTCAAAATGCTGGTTATAAAATTGTCATGGTTTGAAATAAATGGCATCGTGTCATATAATTTAAAGGAGTTATAGTACAAGAATTGGGTGGTGCCCTGTTGGTTTCTGACAAAAAAAAAAAAAAGCCTCTCTAGATGCCTACAGTGCAGTCCATCTGCCATACCTCAGATATTAGGGAAATGTACTTTCGCTTTAGACGGTCACACTATATGTGACAGAAGAAACAGGGTGAGATATCTGTGCACTTAATGGTAAATCCAGAGCAGGCATTATTGGCAACGTTTCAAATCAGATGAGTCTTTATCAAGCCATAACCTTGAGTGCCCAGACCTCTCTGCTACATCTCGAATTAAGGTTATGTCACCTCGGTCTGTGAGGCACCTTGGGAGGATTCCAACATAATACATGTGCAGTCCCTCAACTCTGTTCAACTGCACTGTATATGACAATGGTAGGTAAAAAGTGCCAGAATAACTTACTTAAAGTACTCTGCGTCTATTTCTGCGATCCAAAGTTGGACAGGCTCCTGCGAAAGTTCCAAATTAACCCAGCTGCAGCATTCAACACAATGTATTGAGGACAGTACCAAGTGCAGCTGTGCTTCAACTAGATCAAAAGTCATTGTTGGTGGTTTAATAAACAAGCACTGAGTACTTTCAAATGAAACATGTTTATACCTTTAATTCCTCAAGTCACATCCACTCATTCGAGGCCATGGGGAGCCTCTGTTTATTCAAGCTAAAGCTGTCCTGTTGTGTCCATATGTAGGGGAAGCATAAAATGTAAAGGTGATCATGTAGCATTTTTCTTTTTTGTCTCCCAGTGGGAATGCTTCCATTCAGTGCTTATTTTATTTAAAAGCTTGCATCTGAACCGTAATCATACTGTGAAAGTTGAGACCAGGCCAGCTATGTTACCTATTTAAACAAAGATTGTTCCAAGAATACCATGTTGAAAGACTCGAAAGTGGTCCAAAAGAGGAACATAGTCATTTCACCAAGTGAATAAACATTTTATTACCTCTGACATTTAAACATAGACCAAATAGAATCTAGCTTAGATCACTGGTTGTACATTCTTTATCTTCTCATATATTCTTTAGGTTCTCAGTGTGAGCATCATAGAACTGGTAGATGTTAATTATTCGCATCACACACTAACAATATTATTTTCAAGTGGTAATGTACTGAGTTGGTCTTACACTAGTTGAGCAGGTTATTATGGTGCATGGTTTTAGAATAGTACTTTTGCTTGTCACTCCTTCACTACCAAGTGATTTGCAAAACAATCACCTACAAAATCGGTTTTCTATACGGTGTATTGTCAAATAATATCCCTGTTATTTTTCTTTCCAATATGCCTGGCTAGAAAATGTCCAGTGAACTGCGATGGCCATGGGCCAAGGCCCACAGGGGAGATCAAAGGCTTTGTGTCTTCACAGCCGGTGGATAAGGGCGGACCAGGGAGTCTCCACTCTGCCCCTCAGCCAGGTGCAAAGTATTCTTCCCTTGAGCCCCAGTACTGACCCAGGAAGCACATCTAATGGCGATTGAGATATCACCCCTGAGTGATTGAGAAAGTCTGCTGGACAGATGAAACGCATCTCAGAGGGAGGATCCCAGTGTTTACTATTGATTTTATTTATTTGATATAGTTATTACTATAATTATATATATAATAATTACTTTTTCATCATTTGTAAATAAATCTTTGCTGAAATCAACAACGCTTACTAGTGATTCCCTTCTGGAAACTGCACCCTGGGTTCATAAGAGGGCATTGTCACCCTATATCTGACAAAAAGTCTATAAATTTGGAGCCAGTCATTCATGGGCTCTTAACTAAGGTGAGCAGGAATTCACTGGGGATATTTGTTTTAAGTGTTTTTAAACCAAACAATATTGCATCATTAGGCTCTCCTTTATTGTATTCCATTTTACATCAACTTCTGGAAGTGTTTTATTAAAAAGCTTTGCAGCCACCTGAAGGGCACAGAAATCTGCACTTTTGGAGCCTTTATCTCTTTAAAAGGCCCTTCTAAAATTGAATTTTTATTCACTCACTTTTAATATTAATTTGTATTTACCACACAGAATTGCACTATTTTTTGTTTTGTATTTCCTTTTATATGTCTACATGCTGCCCCAGTACATGCTCTAACGGGTAAGTGTTATCCTGCACAATTTTTAGCAGTGCACTTGCACTTTGTGTTTTTGGTGGGTCACCTCAACTAAACACTAAGTTTTGGTTTTTATATTTGAGATTTTTTTTGTGTGTGATATAAGGAGTATCCAATAGAGTCTTACAGCTGCTGTTATTTATTTTCTCTTTATACTGCCTCTCTTGGCAAACTTATTACCTCTTTTGGATTCCACTACCACCTGTACGCTGATGACACCCAGATATATCTCTCCTCCCTGGACCTCTCCCCTGCCGTCCTGCAACTGCTTGCCTTTCTTCCATCTCTGACTGGATGTCCCCCTGCTTTCTGAAACTCAATCTCTCTAACACTGAGCTCCCTGTCTTTCATCCTCCTAATAGTGATCCTCCTCTTTCGCTCTCTCTTCAAGTTTGTGGTACCCACATCAGTCCATCCTTGCAAGCGCGCTGTCCTGGCGTCATACTTGATTCTGGCCTCACCTTTGAGCCTCACATCCAATATGTTGCCAAATCCTGTAGATTACATCTTAAAAACATAGCCTACATTCTCCCCTTTCTTACACAAGAAGCTACCAAGGAGCTTGTCCATGCTCTAGTAATTTCACGCATGGATTATTGTAACACTCTCCTGATTGATCTTCCCAACACTGCTGCCAGACTGATTTTCCTCTCTAGTTGGTTCTCTCACACCCCACCCCTCTGCCAGGCCTTACATTGTCTTCCTGTATGCTATAGGAGTCATTTCAAGGTACTAATTCACATTTATAAAGCACTGAGCAACTCTAGCCCCTCTGATATCTCTTCACAGATCCATAGGTAGATCAATGGATCTCCCCTTCCGGCACTGCTTTGTGCCTTCAAAGCCAGTGGGGAGATCAGCAGGAGATCAGCAGGATAAGGGCAGACCAGGGAGTCTCCACTCTGCCCCTCAGCCGGGTGCAAAGTATTCTTCCCGTGAGCCCAGTACTGACCCAGGAAGCACCTCTAATGACCGTCTGAGTGACTGCCACTGGAGGTGTCCCTAGGGAGCAATGTAAACACTGCCTTTTGTATGAAAAGGCAGTGTTTACATGAAAATGCCTGCAGGGACGGACTATACGTACTAAAACAACTACATTAAGCTGTAGTTGTTCTTTTAAGTCCTGCAATCTCAAAAAGTTTCAAGAGACAGAAACTAAACGGTTTACTAACTTTTCATTAAGTGACATGTCATGATCGACTTACCACCTATTTGCGTAAATGCACTATAAATAAACAACATACAATATGCAAATGAGTAATGGAATTAAGAACCAGCATAAAAAGGCACTAACCTCTGAACACCAATTTTTATTTGTAATAAACCATCATAGTCTCTGACTCTTCTGCACTGATATTGTGTTCCATTAAATAACAGTCAATCTTTTTTCTATAAGTTTTATGGGAGTGCTATACATTTCATGCAACTCATGTGCAACAGAATTTTATAGGAAGTGTTCAGGCGTGAGTGTTAAAAGATTCTCTTGCCAAGTTTCTTGTTCGATGGATTAAATCCTAGAAGAGACCTGTGCGTGTATGCAGTACTTTATTGTGTGGGCATAAGGGTAAATATACAACTGTAAACGTCTCCTCAAAAAACTTTATGTTATTGGAAACAAAGAAAAAAATAATAAAAACCCAGACAGTATTTTGTTTCGCAGCATTGAGTTTCGTTAAAGCAAGCTCAAACATTTAAACCCAAGACAAAAACATCTGTGTAGTAATGCACTGACTGACGTTGCTATTCTATTATTCTTGTGACCTATTGCAACTACCAGGAAAATCCTTCTATGAAACCAGAAGGGAATTGAGTAGAGTACCCTCTTATTCGGCAGTCCCCACTATGTAGTGTGTGGTGGTCAATGGAAAACACATGGAGGAGCACGCCATTCAATCCAATCCAATCCAACGCACAACAGGTGGCGGTGAATAGATATAAATGGTGTCCCCCAAGACACCCTTTTTGAGGCTTGAATAAGTGACCTTTTACCACCAAGCAATGATTCCTTAAAAATGTTTAGCATGGCTTAAACATTAGGTGCACAGTTAACATATATCTATGAGTGAAAAACAGCAATCTTGCATATAGATTTAACACAAAAACTATACCTATGCAAAGTTGCACTTTTCAATTTTTAATTTATTCATGTTTCTTTTACAGAAATATGAGGAGGATGAATAACCTCGCTTTGCTATATTTTACACAGAGCCTGAAATATAAATTTAAATTTGAAATATAAATAAAAAAATTTAAAAATACAATCTTCTAATATACAACCAAAAAACAAACACAGTCCTGCACATTCAGTATAGGTGTGCACACCCATGTGCTACCACAATTTATTTGAGGACAAAGTTAATGCATTAAATGTTTGGAGCAGCAGCCCTTTCTCAATGCTAATCCTCAGGACATTAGCATTGAGAAAGGGCTGCTGCTCGAAACGTTTGCTGCATTAACTTTGTCCTCAAATAAATTGTGGTAGCACCTGGGTGTGCACACCTAGACTGGATGTGCAGGACTCGTGTTTGTTTTTTGGTTGTATATACACTGTTGGGATTTCAGTGTGGAGTATCTGCAGCACAGGTATATTTTTTCTTTGTTTATATTTTGAATTTTGTAGGCATTTTTTGCCTCTACCTCACCTTATATAATATACAAGCTGCAGCAGTGACATCTTTCTGCTCCTTCCCCTATACAGTGATATTGGTGTATGGGGAGGTAATAGTAAAATTGGTTGTCTAGGAAGGAGTAAATAATCCACAAGCACGTCTTCCTTACTGCATGCCAAAGTCCAAATGGTCTCCATGACCATGACCAGCAACACCAACCAATGAAAAGTCAGTTTATCTCGACAACTCCGTTATATACTAGATCTGAGATCAGGGGTCAATTACAGGGAGTAAGGAGACTGCATGTAGCGGCCTTTATCTTAATGCTATGCAGCTCCCTTTAATGTTTAGTTAAACTCACAGTAAGTAACTCTTGTTTGAAGGACATTATGCGTATCATCAGACAAAGCCTTTTATGTTCATGTCATGTTTTTGCATTATTTAGCTCTCACTGCATTTGCTTCCTTGTTTTGTTTTCATTTTACCCTCCATTACTCCTTCATTCTCCATTTCAACCTACATATTAAGGAGTAGCAAAATCTGATTTTGTTACTTAAATTTTATTTTCTAGATTTATTTAATATGTACGTAGAAAGATTCTTCTCTTTCCCCATTTTTGGGTAAGCACTAATAGACATGCGACCAGCATCTGTAAATTATCTACATGGCAACTCTCTGTTTTTCATCTCTCAACACCACATACTTCAATCTATGGAGAACCCAGCTTCAACTGTTTTCTTATCCTGTTATAGCTCAGTCTGAAACTCCTGAAACTCTTTGATGACTCCTCAGCAAACATAACAATATATACAAAATCCTTTCAGAACATCCCAGCTGTAATGCACGTCTGTTTTCATACTTCCTAAATGCTACATAAATCTCCACACTACATAAATCTATTGGAAAATCAAGACAACTAGTCTACAAGGGCCCTCTTACACCTTAAATTATGGATTAGGGTCTTCTTTCTTTTTGGTTCTTGTTTTCACTTCTCTCTCTTCAGTGAGCCTTTTTCTGATTATGTTAACTACTAGCGGCATCATTTTCAACTGGTTTCCAGAAACCATCATTCTTTGTTTTTATGTCCCCTCCCCCAAAATGTGATCTCCCTCAAGTTTGTTTATAGTAAATTTGCAATAAAACATAAATGTAAGCAAACATTATGTGTTTATTTATTAATTTTTGCTATATTGAGTTTACCCTAGCTTCATATTTGAAATATTCAAACCTTTCAGAATGGAGGCAATTGTCCAAGTTCTGAACCAAAACAAAACCTGGAATTTGTTCAACCATAAGTTATCTTTCATATTAAGTGCACCCATACTTATTATATATCATTTTGTTCAGGAGAAACAGGGCTTTCATTTCACATAAAATATTTATATATGGAGCACAATTTAATATGAATAAAATCTAAAAAAGTGTGAGAAATTAAGAAATGTTATTTTCCAAGTTCTGAATGGTATTTAACTGTGAATGTCATAATACTGTTAGCTTTTACTGCAATAAAAACATGCATATTTGTGTGCTGTGATTTCCCACCATCATGGGGGTTGTACCCCAACTTACAGGAATGGCGAATCCCACAAACAGAGGTTCTATATATGCTTATTACTGTGCCTTAGAGTGGCCAAACTTAACGTAAAGATAAATAGACAGAGTCAGGAGTAGCCAAGGTCAGGGACAAAGAAATACGGATAAATGTAATAACAAGCCAGGTCAAAATATATCAGAAATACTCAAGGTCAGAAACAAGCCCAGTCAGGATACCAGAAATACTCAAGGTCAGAAACAAGACGGGTCCGGATGCCAGAATTACACAACGTCAAATACATGCCAAAGTCAATATCAAGATATAACAAGAGGGATTTACTATGAGCACTAACATGTATGAGGGTAGAAACCACGAATAGAGCAATGAACAAGAGCCCAGTTTAACATTATATAGGCTAACACACTTTCTGATTGGTCCACGTCATCTCTGTGATTTCAAATTGATAGAATATGGGGTCGTCTAGATGACATGGTCACTTTAGGGGTGGGTGTGAAGTAAAAAAAAGATGAGCCAATATAGCGGGCAGAGTATATACTATTTACAGGGAAAAACAGAAGCATGGAGGCCTGAGAACAGGAGCAGTGCGGCCGCTCGGCTCGAGCAGTGGAGCAGCACCGGAGCCTCGTGCAGGTCAGTCTGTGACATCCCTTGTACAGGTTTCATGATGTATTGGTAAAGTTACAGAGTCAAATATAGGGCTTTCTCATTTCAGTTTTTACACATTGAAATTTGCCAGATTGGTTTGTTGAGCCTATGTTGCCTTTAAGACCGCATAGCATCCCAGGAATGAAAATTACCCTGATCATGGCATACCATTTGCAAAAGTAGACAAAGCAGGGTATTTAAAAAGGGGTATGTCCAGTCTTTTTAGTAGCCACTTAGTCACAAACCCTGGCTGAGAATTGAGCAGTGAGACTGCAGGGTCATGATCTATACACCAAAATTGCTTCATTAAACTAAAGTTGTTTTGGTGACTATAGTGTCCCTTTAAAGCCAATGCCATGCTAGACACAATGACACATCCTAACTTGTCTATTCTATGTAAAGATTGGAAATTTTCCTTCTTAAAGTTTGTTGTAGTAGGAGTAGAGAGAAAGCAAAATCATAGAGTGATACAGAGATAGACAGTGTGATATAGTATGATAGAGTGACGATTGTGAAGAGGTGTTAGTTTCTGTATATTCACACACACACACACACAAACAAACATATATATACACACACACACACGACAGATAGATAGATAGATAGATAGATAGATAGATAGATAGATAGATAGATAGGTAGATAGATAGATAGATAGATAGGTAGATGTTCATTTTATGGCAGTTTATTTAGCACAGTATACACAGCATATGCAAATCATATGCTAACAGACGTTATAAACTAATTCAAAGAATATACGACCGCTATGAACATTTAATGTTACCTCTTTTTCTTCTGCGGTTTTCCTCAGTGATTTTAATATATTTTCATGCTTTACTTCATTTGCTTCCATTACTTTTTTCATTTGCCTAATTCCTTGTAAAGCAATCTTTATCTCATGTTCCACATATTCCTCACCGATCTTAGATAGCACTGAACATAAAAGGCATGCAATAATCAATAAAGCACACTATTTCCTTTATGTAACTGAGCCTAGACATTGTAACGAAGCAGTTGCAAACACTATCCTGGATTTTTCCTAAGACAAAAATGTGCAGCACTGGATAACCAAAAGCATGTAAAATAAATCAAGGACCTAGTAACTATCGAAGCTACCCTTTGCTTTCTGAACAGCTTCAAACATACTTAGGTTATATGCATCTGATGGGATATTGCGTCAATCCTAAAGAAGGAAAGCTTCCAGTCCTTTAAGGTATCAGTGGCGTTTAGACGTATTGATTAATGCAACCACTGTCAGATATCTTTAACAGCTCGCATGCAACATAATGAAGTAACGGTGCTCGCTCCATAGGGTGATTCTTTAAAATGGCCTCTATGTTTCTTAGTCTCAGGGGTTCTATTGATAGTTACGCAGTGACTAACTTAAAACTTCTAACCTTAGAACACGGGTAGGCAACCTTCGGTACTCCAGACAATGTGGACTATATTTCCCCTAATGCTTTGCCACCATTATGGCTGCAAGAACATTATGGGAGATGTAGTCCACAACATCTGGAGTGCCAATGGTTGCCTAACGCTGCCTGGCTATTCAGCCTCCTGAGGGCACATAAAGTCTGCTTTAAGGATTATTTAAACATTAAGTCAATATTTTAGGACGTGTTGCTATATTACACGTTGTTGATCAGGCTTCCCTTCTCTAGACCTTCTGAAGAAAAGATTTTCCTGTCTCTCGCACAGTTTGTGTTTGGTTAGGTGCAGCGATCTGTTGAATTCCTGCCAGACAGTGCTGTCTAACTCCTCTCCTGCAACATTTTCTGTTCAGGAATGGAACTCTTTAAACCTTAAAAAAGTGTTTTTGAAAATTCTGATAAGATTGTGGTGCTCTTGGGACAAAATGATCTACATACTTTGCTGAATCTCAGACAAGCTGGTAATCTCCAGGAGTTCCACCATTCTCACTAGCTGCTGCTAGGTGACAATTGTGTTTCCTACAGTTAATAAGCCCTTCTGATAATTTATCACTGCAAATTCTATTCTCCCAAGCACTGGATTAATTTATATTCTATTTTAATCGCATTAGGCAAAAAACAGGCACAACGATTATGTTGTAGAAACGTTTGACATAATAAATTGACACATAATGCGTAACATATACAAGTATGATATGCCAATACGTTCATCCCTGTGGGACTTTTTGACAAAGTACCTTTTAATTTTTTGCTGTCAATCCTATTGTGTTCTTCTGATGTAGGTGCTGTTTGAATGTAATTTAGCCATAGCAGAGATGTTAATAGTAAAATAAACAGCTTCATATTCCTCCTAGCAAATAAAAGAAAACACATATAAAATCACTCACTCTTACAATATACTTTTCAGTTGCCACAATGTAGGTAAAACACGTGCAGTGGTTACTTGTATCCAGTGGTGTATTTAGGATTTGTGCTGCCCTAGGCAGGACGGTGCTCAGGCCCCCCCCCCCAATTTAAATTTTCCCCACCCCTTCCTGTCAAGGCCGCACTTTGACTGACAGATGCACACTCACTGACAGAAGCACACTCACCGACAGACGCACACTCACCGACAGATGCATACACTCACTGACAGACGCATACACTCAGTGACAGACGCATAAACTCATAGACGGACACACACTCTCATATACACTGACAAACAATGACATGCACACACACTATTACTTGTCACACACTGACAGACGCACACTCTCACTGACAGACGCAAAATTTGACTATTTATCAAGCCTCTTCTGAAGCCTCTGCCACAACACTGTTCACTGTAGCCTATACTGCTGATGTCACACCGCTATACAAATGTGATACATCTATACCTACTTCAAAATCTTCCAAATCTCTCTCCCCCATTTCAGACACTATTTCCCACTTCAGCCTCATCAGCCATTTGTTTAATAAACTACACATTACTTTAGCTTCAGTGGGGTTGTAGTGACTTCAAAAACACATCAGATTTGTGAAAGGTAGACATTGTATGTTTTACTTCTGATGATCCCGATTCCCATGTTGTGTTTATATAAAGAGTTGAAAATGTAAATTCAATGATGATGACAAAACATCTCTTTTCTGAGCAATAAATACCTTCAATAACAAAGTAGGTGATTTAAATAGATGTGACTAGTGATTCATATCTCATATCAATTTCTGCTATTTTGAATATTTGAAGAAGAGGAAATGTGCTTCATAAAAACACAATATGGTCATATGCAGTGGATATTATCTAAATGTATTCTACAAGCTATTTCAAATAACAGTCCGCATAAAAATGACCGAACAACGTCTGATGCATTTCCCAACACAATTTATAAAGCAGATGTGAGGTTTATGTAAGGATATACAAGTTTTTACTTTCTGTTTAAAACAATAACAAAAATAAACGATTCAAGATATTTATGGACAATTCTGTAATCACGTTGGATTATCAATTTAAATACTGGCATGTCAATCAATAATAGTGAAAAATAACCAATGAAAGATTGATGTGATTGATTTGTGATGAAACAAGCATATAAAGGATTATTTTTACACTCAGATTGCTTTTGTGTGTGTTTATGTCAATAAAGATTAGACCAAGCAATGTGACAGGAAGACTTGAAATACTATAATAACGTACAGTAAATCTGTGATCAAAGCAAACAAATATAGCAAATTAATAATAAAATACACCATGGATTTATATATACATCAAACCTACAGTGTATAAAAGCAGCATTGTCAGAAACATTTCTGATGCGTGAATGATTTCTATTTAAAGGAAATATAAATACTTTAAATGTGGACTCTGTTTAGCATCTTTACTTTAAAATATAATAAATCTAAATTGATTAAAAAAAAAAGAATACCAGAATGACAAGTTTCTCTCTTCTGTGAATCTTATACTGTAGGCTCTCAGATGTTCCAATTCGGTTCCGCAGAATAGTGAGGATTTTCCTAGTACCTACTTATCTGTTGACTTGGCTGTTAATCCAATTATCAGAATAAATTGTGATTAGGCTAATGAGTTCATGCCACTCATTCTGGATCACTAATCTCTGTATATGTGTTAGTAAACAAGCACTAGGTGAAGTACTTCATATAATTAAAAATATTTTAGTTGAATGTAGGAGGTAAGAGAATGTATCGTAGATTAATTTATGCCAGATTCACAAAATCAGTTGATCATGATGTAACTTGGTTTCTATCAGTGGTGCATAATTGCTGCCTCTTCATGCTTGCTGCCTGCCCTATTGATTGCTATGGAGTTCATTCTCACTAATGGAATTATTTCTCAGGGA